AGGATGTGTTTTCATTCTCATTTGATTCTATGAATTTCTTTATTCCATCCTTAATTTCTTCTATAACCCAGTAGTTTTTGAGCAAGGTGTTGTTCAGTTTGCATGTGTTTGATTTTTTTCCTTGCTTTTTCTGTTATTGATTTCTACTTTTATTGCTTTATGGTAAAAAAAGATGCTTTGTAATATTTCCATGCTTTGGATTCTGTTAAGGTTTGCTTTATGGCCTAATACTGGGTCTATTCTGGAGAATGTTCCATGTGCACTGGAAAAGAAGGTATATTTGGCTGCTGTTAGGTGGAGTGTTTGGTATATGTCTATGAGATAGAGATGGTTAATTGTGGCATTTAGATATTCTATGTCTTTGTTGAGCTTCTTTCTGGATGTTCTGTCCATCACAGAGAGTGGTGTATTGCAGTCTCCTACTATTATTGTGGAGCTATCTCTATTTTCAATGCTGTTAGAGTTTGTTTTATGTATTTTGGAGCCCTGTTGTTGGGTGTGTAAATATTTATTATGGTTATGTCTTCCTGGTGTATTCACCCTTTAATCATTATATAGTGTCCTTCCTTATCCTTTGTGGTGGATTTTACTTTAAAGTCTGTTTTGTCGGAGATAAGTATTGCCACTCCTGCTCTTTTTTGAGTGTTGTTTGCTTGATATATTTTTTCCATCCTTTGTGTTTTAGTTTGTTTGTGTCTTTAAGTCTAAGGTGTGTCTCTTGTAGGCAGAATATAGACAGATCGTGTTTTTTAATCCATTCTTCCACTCTCTCTTTATTGGTGCATTTAGTCCATTTACATTCAGCGTAATTATTGATAGGTATGAGTTTAGTGCTGTCATTTTGATGTCTTTTTGTGTGTGTTGTCGACAGTTACTTTGTTCCACTTACTTTTCTGTGCTGAGTCTTTTTTCTTTTCATCTTTTTCATTGTTGTTGATTTTGTGTTTGCTGAATCTTTATCTTTTTCTAGTTTTTTTTTTTGACCTGTAGGATTGTTAGTTTCTTTTTTGGTTACGTCAATATTTACCCCTATTTTTCTAAGTTTAAACCAGTCTTTTATTTCTTTATATGGCCTTGTCTTCCTCTCCATGTGAAAGATTTCTGACTATACTTTTTAGTCTGTCTTTTTTGTTTTAATGTTGTCATCTTTTACATATTGCCATTTCTGTTTCCCTATTTTCAGTGTCTTAGCTTTGATGTATTTTTGTGACTTCCCTATCTGAGTTGATATCTGGTTGCTCTGTCCTGTGTTCTAGTCTTGGGTTGTTATCTGATGTTATTGATTATCTAACCGGAGGACTCTTTAGTATTTCTTGTAATTTTGGTTTGGTTTTTGCAAATTCCCTAAACTTCTGTTTATCTGGAAATGCCCTAATTTTGCTATCATATTTGAGAGACATTTTTGCTGGATATATAATTCTTGGCTGACAATTTTTTTTCTTTCAAGGCTTTATATATGTTATCCCATTGCCTTCTTGCCTGCATGGTTTCTGCTGAGTACTCCAATCTTATTCTTATTGACTCTCCTTTGTACATGACTTTTTGTTTATCCCTAGCCACTCTGAAAATTCTCTCTTTATCTTTGTTTTTGGCAAGTTTGATTGTAATATGTCTTGGTGACTTTCTTTTGGGATCTACCTTATGTGGGGTTCAATGAGCATCTTGTATAGATATCTTGTCATCTTTCACGATATCAGGGAAGTTTTCTGCCAATGAATCTTCAACGATTGTTTCTGTATTTTCTGTTATCTCCCCTGTTCTGGTACTCCAATCAATCGTAGGTTATTCCTCTTGATAGAGTCCCACATAATTCTTAGGGTTTCTTCATTTTTTTAATCCTTTTTATCTGATTTTTCCTCAAATATGTTGGTGTCAAGTGCTTTATCTTCAATCTCTCTAATTCTGACTTCCATTGCCTCAATTCTGCTCCTATGACTTTCTATTGAGTTGTGTAATTCTGAAATTTTATCGTTAATCTTCCGGATATCTGATTGCTGTCTCTCTATGGATTCTTGCAGCCTGTTAAATTTGTCATTATGCTCTTCTCTAATCTTCTTAAGTTCCTCTGTTGCTTTCTCTGTGTGTTCCATGGCTTTTTCTGCATTTTGTCAATCTCCTTCATGATATCTTGAAGAGTTCTGTGTATTAATCTTTTGTATTCTACCTCTGATAATTCCAAGAAGTTCTGTTCCTCCAGAAAATTCTGGATTCTTTGTTTTGGGAGCTTGCTGAAGTCATCATAGTCTGTGTCTTTATATGATTTGATATTGACTGTTGTCTCCGAGCCATCAATAAGTTATTATATTTATTTATTTTGTGTTTGTTTACTGTGTCCTAGCTTCTTGTTTTGTTTTGTTTTGATATGCCCAAATAGGCTCCTCATGTGAGCTAGTTTGATTACTGGCACCTTTGAAGCTCTAATGTCCTGTCACCAGGTGGTTAGATCTGTTACTAGGTACGTGAGCCCAGGAGTCCGTTTACTTTTGTTGTATGGATTCAGCTCAGGTGTCCAGGTGGTCGGTCACCAAGTGTGTGGTGCAGGTAGGGGTGATTGGTGTAGGCACAGGTATCTGGCTGCAGTAGGGGATCATGCACTGAGCAAGGCATGGGACTGATGGCTGCCCCTGCATGTCTCAGAGGAAAGCATGTCCCTGTTCCCTAGAGTGCTTAGGTGAGTGGGTTTTGCAGCTGGACTATGAGCACCCAGTGCTGTTGGCTGTAAGGACTGGGAGGCACCACTTATTCTTGGACCCCTACTGCGGGTGGCTAGGTGGCATAGGTGGAGTCACCAGTCCTCAGGCCCCTGATGTGGGTAGGTGAGGACCCTGCTTAATGGGCAGAGTGGTGTCAAATGTCAGGAACATGCCACTCCACCATATAGCTGATACAGTTGAAGGTAGGCTTCAGGTATACATCCTGTTGTACTGTTCTAATGAGGGTCTATGCTGTTGAAATGGTTCCACACAAGTCTATGCGTGGGTGAAAGGCATTCAAAGTCCATGGACCCCTTATGCCTGTGCCTAGGTAAAGGAGTTGTGCTTGCCTGAGTTCCCAGCTTAGGGGAGCTGGTGGATTATTTTCTCCTGTTTGTTAATTTGTTCCCTCCCCAAGGCCAGGAGAATGGCTCAGGGTGCATGATGGGTCCTACTTCTGGCCCAGGGGACTTGACAATCACTGAAGATGGCCCGGGACCAGGTGCAGAGTGGGAAGGGGGCAGGTAAATGAGAGAGAGGTTTTTCCCAGAGGGGATGTTTTTTGATCTGCACGGTAAGTCAGACACGTGTACTTAACTTTTGCCGATTGAGTGCCACTTTTCACTGGTTCTGGAGGCCCGAGTAGACTCTCTGCCACTTGGTCTCTTCTGATGTGGAAAATGCCTCCCGAGCACCACTGCTTGCCTCACCATGCACACTAGTCAATGAGGCCTGAAGGCTGCCGGCTCCCGCTGGGTCAGGTCTGGCAATTCCTCACTGCTTCCAAACCGTCTCTCCCTCCCCCTGCCACTTAGTCTGATTCCTCAACTTTGCCTTTGATTTCAGGGCTCCTATATAATCGATTCACTTGTTTTTTCCGGTCTTTGTTGTAAGAGGGACCACAGGAAGCATCTGACTACTCCGCCATCTTGGCCCCACCTCCGAGGAAAAGACTCTTAAGCGAAGAATTTTTAGTGGTTGTGGTAGCTAGATGTTTGCTTCAATGGACCCTAGCCAACCTCTCTGTAACACAAATGACTCTTTTGTGTAAAGAGAAGTTGGCATGTTTTTGGACAGTACTTTTGTTAAAACTGTTATCAAAAATTCCATGGGCATTTGTGTGGAAAATTGTGAGTCACTAGCTGAATGTTTGTGGGTTAAATATTACATTGTAGCAGGAAATAATTTGCAACTACCACATGGGACATGCAAGAAATATCACAAAACAGAATGCTTAGAAGCATGTGTTCGTGCCTGAAGTGTAACCACTGGAGTCTACACCCCTGTTTTAAGATGACTGCTAAAAACTGCTCTATGAAATCTGTTTTGTCACAGCTGGGTGAAGTTTCTACATCCATCATTTCTCTGCTAGATCATTAAGGCTGCTACCCATTAAGTAAATTGATGGATCCCAATTAGATTTCTGCTAGGTCTTGTGCTCTGACTTAAATAGATGAAAAAGCTGACCTCTGGAATCTTATGCTGTAAAGAAAAATACAACAGAATTCTAACTTTTTTGCTTTTATTGAGCCCTGTACAAGGTATTTGTTGTTACCGGTTCTTGTAAGGAGTACAGTTCAATCTATCTTGACAGAAATTAGTTTGGATCAGACTGAGCAATGTTCTCAATCACATATGAGGTCCCTCCTGGTCCTCAGACTTTCAGGTAACTGGTCCCCCAAGCCCTCCCCTTAGTAAAACAGGTGTGGTTTCCAGATATCTAATCCTTTAATAGTAGGGACTCTGTTCTTGAAGCTTCTTCAAGCGGCCCCCTTCCCTCTACCAGTTGCTTGATGGACATTACCCAAATGATCCTAGGTCTTATGATTGTGAGCAACCCATGCACTTTTCCCTACAGAACAAGTACATTCAGTCACACTGTTAGCTCCTACAGACCTTATATGTTTGGATTTGAGGCCATGAAGACTTCTAGTCATTCAGCCACAATTAGCTGTGCATTGTCTTTCTCCACAGTTTTGTTGCCCAATGCATTTCTAATACGGGCCCAGAAAAGTGGCCTTTCATGGGCATTGTCTGGCCAGGTGATAAATGTCTGCCTATTCACAAGTTTCCGGAGTCTGTGGTAGCTAGATAGCTTATAGTTTGGAATCTCTTCCAAGAATATTAAGATGATAACAGCCTCATGCTTGTAGAACATCTTGATGATGGCCAGCTGTACTTCAAGCCGGCACCATTCACTGTGCAGATAGTGGTTACTGACCACACACAGTTTTCCGGTTAGTGTTGATGGCATTCTGGATGTTCTCAAAGATGTCCACACCTGGTTCAAAGTCCTGGTGGTGCAGACAGAGCTTAAACATGGGCTGGCCACCGTCTTCTAGGGCTGGAACAAGCTCTTATATACCCACTGCTCATCAGTGGCAGTGAAAGAGACGAAAACATCATAGATGAACTCCTTCTCTGTCCTATGCCATTTGGCCAAGTACCAAGCTCTAAATATGTAGAGCCCGTACCATAAAGATGAAGTTATCTTGGCATTGAACCAAGAGAAGACCATGGTTGTGAGGACCAGACTGAAGGAAAAGAAGAAGTATACCTTCCCCAGATCAAAATTACACACAGCATCGTCAAAATCTATCAACAAACTCTGGGTATTTGACTGCTGACAGGTGTAGCTCCGGAGGTAAGGGATGTGGACATTTTCTGTATTTATTGACCAGTTGTTGAACCACACATTGTCACAGGTGCACTGAAGTTTGTTCCCATAGAGATCAAAGTACATCAGAGACTTCAGATTCTCCAGATGACTTTGATTAATGACTTTTAGGTTGTTGAATCTTAAAAGAGAAGACTTGAAGGCCTTCTAAACCAGAGAACATACCAGGGGTCAGTGACTCTATGTTGTTATTTTCCAGGCACAGCACTTTTAATTTTTTGAGCTTATGGAATAAAGAAGTATTTAAATAGAGACTTCGGTCTCCAGCTTTTGTTCCTGAGATATCCAACTTCATGAGATTAGTCAGGGTGTCAAACTGGAGGTGGTCCAGGAATACAATAGGATTTTTTCCTAGTAGTAGCTCCTGCAAACTATTCAGCACTTGGAAGAAGTTGGTTGGAACAACCTGAATCCCATGCATTTGTCCTTCTAGGTTGAGTTGTTTTAGAATCTTGAGGTTTATAAATGGAGGAAATGGCAAGATTTTAGTGGTTTCATATGTAATTTTATTAGAACTGAGATCTAACATTTCTAGATTTTCAAGGCCCAAGAAAATGCCTGCATAAAAACCTGACAACATATTGTATGCCAGATCAAGTTTATATAGGTTAGTGAGGCCAGAAAATGCACTATTCTCTATAGCTTCCAGGCGGTTGCAAGATAGAATCAGAACTTGGAGCTTCTTCAAAAATTGAAAGGTTTTGTGCTTCAGATGCTGAATATTGTTCTTTCCAAGGTGTAAACTCTCTAAATTTGGAAATGGAGCAAAGGAGTACTTGTCAATTGTTACTATCCAGCACCCAGCCAAGATGAGCTCCTTCAATGAATACAGCCCATAGAAGGCCATATTATTAAGTTCTGTGATGGGGTTTCCAGAGAGAAAGAGAGATTGTAGGCACCTCAAGGGTGAAAATGCAAAATCTGGAAAGTTTTTTAACTTGTTGTGGCTCAGGTCTAGGGCTGTCAAGTTCTGGAGGGCACTCCAGGTCCTGTTGCTGACAAAGGAAAGCCAACACTTATTTAGATTCAGGCTTTGAAGGCTAGGCATAGCATCAAACTCACTGTCATTGAGGTGAACCAGATCATTGCTTTTACCCAGGTCAAGGGACAAAAGCCTGGTACAGTTGGAAAGGTACTTTATGCCCCCTGCATCCGCAGCATTTTTTTGAAAAACCAAAGTCTCTAATATTGGTAAGTTTCTGAGGAGGTGACAAACTGTGTTCAACTTTAAGTGTCTGCCTCTAAAGTCCCAGTTACTGAGGTCCATTTCCCTTAGATTCTGCAGGTGTTTGACTGGGAGTATCTCTAAGTTCACCAGTGTGCCACTCAGATTCAAGCTCTTCAGTAAGGGCAGAGTTTCTAGACACACATTCTGGATGACTCGATGGCCATCCTGAGAGACATCCAGAGTGGTCAGATTAGGCAGTGACAAAGCAGAGAAATTTAACTTCATTAGCTTATTCCCCTGCAGGCTCAAATGGGTCAGCGATACCAATGACCTGGGGTGGTGGTCCAAGGAGATGATGCTGTTATTAGTGAGATCAAGGTATTCCAGGTGTGGAAGATGTTGGACCGCTTCAAGAATATTGGAAAAATTCATCATAAAATTTCACGATAAGCTTAAATGTTTCAATTTGACAAGAGGGACAAAGGCATCTTTGTGAATATGGGTAATTTGATTGTGGCTCAGGAGCAAGGTCTCCAAGTCGGACAGGCCCTCAAATGAGTTGTTCACACTTTGAATCTTATTTTCTACTAAATTCAAAAGGGTCAGGTTTTTAAGCCCCCAAAAAACCCCTACACCAATCTCCCAAATGAAATTCCACTCCAGTCACAAGTCCACCAGGGCAGACAAATTAGTGAAGGCATAGGGAGGAAGGATCTGAATTTGGTTCTGCGTCAGGTTGAGGTGAGTGGTGTATCCAGGGATATCACTAATGGCATCTGTCAAGTTCGTGATCTTCTTCCGAATGCAGAACACATGATGAAAGTCAAATTCATACTGCGTACATTTATTGAACCCGTATGTCTCTGCCAAATATGGCAGAGAAAGCCCAATTAAAATGATCCAGAGCTGTGGAGGCAGGAGGTGCACTGAATCCATCTTGTCAGCCTAATGCCTCAGAGTTACTGTAAGAAAAAAAAAATCCTTTCACATGTGTGATGCTCACTTTTGAAGGAATGGTCCTTTCATTTTGACTTTGCTGCAAAGAAAAGAGAAAAATTTATAGTTTAAAACTTCTCTCTCCTATTAAATATTTCATAGCTGTTTCAATGAAACTAGAAAGCCTTGTCCTCCAACATTAACTTCCATAACAAACTCATTGTCACAGCAATCTCAAAGTGTATCAGCAAGGACTAGTGTTCTTTCTCCTACAATCAAAATTGTCAGCACATGGAGGCAGGGAAGGCAATTGCCAATTTGATTTAATTAAGGAGAATTAAGAAGCTTCCCACCCCTTTGAAATAAAATATCTCCCTCGTTGTTTGAGGTGATACCTGAAATTCTATCATTGGAGATTCATTTTTGGGTCTACGAATCTAAAGTCCAGTTAAAAGATAATTATTCATGATAGGGGCAAAAAATCAAGGTTTACAGATCACCTCTACCTTAAGGTGAATGAATAAAGGAGTCCTTGATTTAAAGCCATTTATTTCACCACAATTTGCACTTAAATCTCTCAGGCTTCTATATGTGTTATCAGCATATGGCATTCACAGTAAGCAGAAAAAAATACAGCTAAAATTAACCTCGATCTGTCAGTCTACTTACTGATAATTTTTGGCCAAGTTTTCTCTCATCTTGCCTCCCAGTTTCAACCTGTTCCCACAGTCACTCATGGTGATGTGATGAAAAGAGCATCAGCTCAAACATACCTGGCTCTAATCCTGTGTCCTTAGACAAATTATTTAACCTCTCTGAACCTATTTCCTCATCTACACAATAGGATAATAATACCTACTCCCTCATAAGGTTGTGAAGATTCAATAAGACAATTTGAAGTGCCCAGCTTGATACCTGGTACACTGCAGAGCTCAATAAAATTATTAAAATTATTTCCTTTTCCCCATAACTCCAGGCCAACACCAACACACTATCCTTATGCGGATCTTCTAGCTCTTGACTCAGGAGAACTGGTAGCCACAAAGGAAGGAGGGAAACAACATAGTTGAGTTTTCTTTTTGTTTTTGTTTCTTTTCTTTTCTCTGTACAGTAAGTCCCCGGGTTAAGAACGTTTGACTTACGGACAACTAAAGAACGGACTGCCATAAAGCCTATTATATTAAAAAATTTGAGTTAAATACAGTGGTTTGTAATAACAAACGCTGGCATTACTGTATGTATTATGTTTAAGATGTTTTAGTGTATTCTGAGTGATTAAAGTTTATTTTGGGACATATAAAATTTATCAATTTGTCATATTGTGGTGGCTTGTGTGTTTCTGGGGTGCTGGAATCTATGCCACCAGATTTAAAATACCAGCAGGGTCACCCATGGTGGACAGGTTTCAGCGGAGCTTCCAGACTAAGACAGACTAGGAAGAAAGGACTGGTGAGCTACTTCTGAAAATCAGCCAATGAAAACCCTTTGGATCACAACAGAACATTGTCTGACTTGCTAGCTTTGGTCATGTCATCAGGAGAGATCAATTGCTAGAGGAGGACATCATGTTTGGTGAAGAAGAGGGCCAGTGAGGGTGAGGGAGACGCTTGGTGAGATGGATTGGCACGATAGTCATAACGATGGACTCCAACAGGCCGACATTTGTAAGGATGACCCAGAACCGGGTAACATTTCCTTCTGTTGTACATAAAGTCACCATGAGTTGGAGTTGACTTGATGGCTGCTAACAACAACAACAACAAAATTTATGAATAAGACTTCATTGTTGTATCATCATAAGACTTCACTGTTGGATCAATTCAGATATACCCAGAGACAGCAAGGCCTTGAATCAGAAGAGCTGTGCAGAAGCATTCCGTAAGTGGGAAAGCACCCTGCACGATGTAGCATTATTGCTCTTCTAATGAGAGGCTGATTAAACAGTCACCCTACAAGGGGATTAATCCTGATTAATTAGCCTGGTAAGTTTAACTGCAATTCTGTCTGCTGGCTCAGAGTATGGTTTAGAAATAGAAGAGTGATGTAAGGCAGCCCAGTACAGCACAGCACTTACCTGTGATGTGGGGGCCTGGTCTTACAGTGCCAATTCTGACATTTATTAGCTGTGCAACTGGAGGCAAGTCATTTACTGTCCGAGCTCAAGTTTCTACTCGGCAAAACTTGCGTGAGTCATGGTTGCCCAAAACCTGTTTTGCAGGACACTCTGTGAGATGTTACAAAGTGGTTCATAATATGGGGAAAAGGTTATAATTAAATAAACATGGAGGGCATTGACTTCTGAAGGGCTTCCCAGAGCCTTTAAAGTGCCAGCCTGTGCTAGAAACAAGAGGGGAGGTTGAGAGCAGGCAGCTTTTCCAAATTAAGAGACCCAGACTGTGGGGTCTGACAGGTCTGAGTTTTAGTCCTAATTCTGCTCTTTTCTTCTACTGGTTGCTGTTGCTGTCAAGTTGGCCCTGACTCACAGCGACCCCATGCACAACGGATTGAAATGCTACCTGGTCCTAGCCATCCCTATGATGGGTTGGGGATCGGATCACTGTGATCCATAGGCTGATTTTCATTGGCTGATTTTCGGAGGTACATTGCCAGGCTTTTCTTCCTACTCAGTCAGAGTGTGCTGACCTGGGGAAATGACCGTTCTCATTGAGTTTCAGTTTCTTTATCTGTTTCATGGGGATAATAAGAATCCAACCTGCTTCATCGAGTTACTGTGCAGTTCAATGCGATGGTGCATAGAAAGGACCTGGCACTTATTATGCACCAAGTGTTGTTGTTACATCTTGTGAAAAACAGTTTGAGAGACCCTGACTTAGATGTTCTCAAAATATTTTTTTTCAGCCTCAGAATTTTAAGGGACTTCAGGTGAACTATTTTTCTAACTGCATGCCTCATATACTTTCCTATTCTCTACTTTGTTACATAAAGAAAAAAAATTTAAACAGATGTCTTAGTGTATTTGGAAGTGTTTCTTAAGTGTTTTATATGCATAGAAAGGCCCTGGTGGCTTAGTGGTTAAGAGCTCAGCTGCTAACAAAAAGGTCAGCAGTTCAAATTCACCAGCTGCTCCTTGGAAATCCTATGGGGCAGTTCTACTCTGTCCTATAGTGTCGTTGTGAGTTGGAAACAACTCGATGGCACCTAACAACAACAAGACAAACATTTAACTACTGATGCTAAAGAAGAACCGTATGTACCTGTTCCAACTTACTTACAAATTCGACTTAAAGACAGACTTAGGAACAGATCTGGTTCATAACCCGGGGAGTGCCTGTGTGTATTTTCATAGGTACACAAAGATATATGATATGTATTCTAGCACTGTTTGTAATTGTAGGCAGAACAAAACAAACATCTATTACAGAAACTGACAATATATACATACATGTGTGTGTTAGGTGCTGTCAAGTCGGCTCCGATTCATAGTGACCCTATGTATAACAGAACGAAATGTTGCCTGGTCTTGCGCCATCCTCACAATCTTTGTTATGTATGAGCCCATTGTTACAGTGACTATGTCAATCCATCTCATTGAGGGTCTTACTCTTTTTCACTGACCCTATAAAATGGGAATTTCTTGGATTAGTACATTTATGATAAGGGCAGTATCATATTGAATAGAATCATGAAATATGACTTCGTAAAGCTTCTATAATTAATGTGAGACACTTATTAAGTCTGTGATATTAAGATTATCAAGGGTAGTACACAAGAGGGCACATCTCCTCACAATATCAGCAACACTTGGTATTACTCACTTTAATAATTTTTCCAATTCTGATGGTGTTAAAGTGACATCTCATTGTCCTCATTAACATTTATTTGAATATTTGTAATTTTTAGAATCTTTTCATGTATTTGGTAGCCAGTTGGACTTTTCTTTTAGTGACCTGTTTATTTATATCCTTTCTCCATTTTTAAAATTGGTTTTCTTGTTTTTTACTTGATGATTTGTGGGCATTCTCGTATGTTCTAGACATTAATCCCTTGTTGGTTTTGATGATTTAAATATTTCCTGTCATCTATCACTTAATTTTGTCTATAATGTCCTTTGTTAATCAGAAATTTTTAGTTATACTATAGTAAAAGACATCTTTTTTGGCTTTATGGTTTTTGCTTTTGGGTTCCTGTTTTAAAAAATATTTTTTGCCTCCTTAGATTGTATTTGAATTGTGGTGTTGGTAAAGAATATTGAATATACCATGGACTTCCAGAAAAATGAACAAATCTGTCTTGGAGGAAGTACAACCAGAATGCTCCTAAAAGGAAGCATGCCGAGACTACATCTTACATACTTTGGACGTGTTGTCAGGAGGGATCAGTCCCTGGAGGACTTCATGCTTGGTCGGAGAAAAAGAGGAAGATCCTCAACGAGATAGATTGACATAGTGACTGCAACAATGGGCTCAAACATAACTACTATTGTGAGGATGGCACAGGACTTATCCAACCAACGTTTTGTTCTATTATACATAGGGTTGCTATGAGTCACAGCCGACTCCACAGCACCTAACAACAACAAAGATTATATTAGATATGTACATTTAGTTTTATCTTTCCTATTTATGACTAATCCATCCAAATTCCATTTTTCTGTACTGTGAAAGGTAATAATCCAGCTATTTTTTTCCAGTTAGTGTACTAGAAATATCTATCACCTTTCCAATGCTTCGAGGGGTATCTTTATAATATATCAAATTACCATACTTCCTTGAATGTATTTCTGAGCTCTCTTTTCTGTTCCTTTGTTTACTTATCAGTTTCTATAAGTGTACCATGTCATTTTATTACTATGGCTTAAAGGTATATCTTAATATCTAGTAGGGTGAATTCTCTCTTTGCTCTTCTTTCTCAAGTTGATTTTTAAGGTTTTCCACTATATTCGTGAAAATTTTTCCATTATAAATGTAAGTCTACCAACTTTCCCCCAAAATCTAACTGAAATTTGGTTTGGGATTGCATTGAATTTGGAAGTTAATTTG